TATATTAAAATTTTGATATTAATGTCAAAGACAAAGGTTTATATATGCATCACACTGATATTCAAGGTCCTATTAATACTATATAAAAAAAGTAAATAACTCAAAATATATTGACTATACTTTTATAAAAATTCATATTCAAATAATTTTAAATCTGCTGAATAACTTTTAAATAATAAAGAAAGATTTACTTTGATTAAAGTATTTAAAATACATTCTGAATTTATTTAACTATAATTTTATTTCAAATTTTTATTAGAAAAAAAATTATAAAAAATATATTTATAAAAATAACTTTATTATTATTAGTTAAAAATATTTAAAAACCTTATAAATAGCAAAAGTTATATAAAGTTTTAGTAGTAGAAAGAAAATATATTGACCAATTTTTATTAAAATAAAAAAATAAATTTTTTTTATGTAGTATAATGATTTTCTTAAAAATATTTGTTTCTTATCTAATTATTTTTATTACATAATATAAATCATCTAATTTAAAAATTATAAAAATAGATCATCTTAACATTAAAATTCAAATTTTGTTTATCATAATATGCAAAATTAAAAATTATTCTCAAAGCCTCTTTTTCCTAATAAACCTTTCATATTAAGTATTATATAATAAAATCAATAATTATCTATTATACTGAATAATTCATTATATTATATTATATAATTTATTATAATTTTTATAATAAAAGTCTGATCAATTAAGATGTTAAATTCATTATATAAAATATTAACTGCATATATGAATAATAAATGAATTATAAAATACAAAACTGATCTTTATTTTAAATATTTACTGATTACTTATATTATTTATTTGAAATCAATAAAATAAATAAAAAAGATAACTAAAATCTGTTATTATTATATATAAATAATTATTTATGATAATTAGCTAAGGTTTATTATTTTTTTAATTTAATTTATATTTTTTAATTTTTTAATATATTTTATATTAATATATTTTTTTTCTTTAATTAAAAATCTTTTTTATATTATATTTAATTTTAATATTACAAGTTTATTTCAAAACTAATAAAAATTAAATATAATAATTTATAATATTATGATTAATTATATTTTGTAAATACTTTCAATATAAAGTTAATTAAATATTATTTATAATATAAAAATTAATATAAAATTAAATGTTAAAAAAGTATTTGTAATAAAAATAAAAAAAAATTGAAAGATATTGATATCTGCAACTAATAGTAATAAAAATAATAATTTTAAAATAAATGATGATGAATAATTAATGATAAAAATAAAAGTAATAGATATTAGGAAATTAAAGAAATAATTTTATATTTTATATAATTGTTATTATTTTATTATTATTAAAGTTTTAACAGTTTAGATTAATCTAAAGATTTTTTAGTTTAGATCATTTCAAATCAGTTTCAGATTATATAAAAATTAATTAGAAAGTTCAATTTAATTAAATGTAAAAAAGTTCTAAAAAGTTTGTAAAAATATAGTGAATCTTTTAGAAAATTACAATTTTTTGTGATTTCTCTTCAAATTTTATAAAAAAATTGTAATTTTTTATAATTTCTTTTCAAATTTTGCAAAAAAATGAAAAAATCTTAAAGTACTCTTTAAATTTCATATTTTTTTTGTAAAATTTGAAGAGAAATTCGTAATCTTTGTAAAATTTAAAGAAAAATTTGTAATCTTTTATAAAATTTGAAAAGAAATTTGCAATCTTTTGCAATTTTTTAAGAGTTTTATATATAAATAGCAAATTATTTTCAAAATTCACATTTAATTAAATTATAATTTAGATTAACCTTAAAATTCCAGTTCAGTTTAGATTTTTACCAATTTGCAGTTCAGTTTAAATTCAGATTGACTTTTAATCTAAACTGAACTAAACTATTCTAAGCTTTAATTATTATTTTTTTCATATTTTTTGAATAATAGTAATAATAAAAATAATGATATTTATAAATATTTAGAATATTAAAGGTATAATTTTAGAGAATTTTAAGAGAAAATAGAATTATTTTTAAATTTGATTATTATATTATTATTTTAAAATGATAATAATAATAAAATTGATAATAATAATAAATATTTAAATATTTAAAAATTGATTTCAAGGAATTTTGAAAAAGAGTGCTATTTTAATTATTAATTTAATTATTTTTTTTATATATTTATTTTTTTTTCTTTTTACAGATTTTATTTTAACTTTTAATATTATTAATGTAAATTTTTTCAGATTATAATAATTAGTAATAATATTTAAGTAGTATATCTTTTATAGTTTATATAGTAATTCAATGATCAATAAGTTAATTATTAATTTTATTATATACTATAAAGTATATTTATATTTTAATAAGATAATAGTTCTATTATATATTATAAAATATATTCAAATCTACAATAAATTAAATGTATAAACTGCTAAGTATATTCAAGCCTATATTAAATTAAATAAATTATTCTATTATATTGTTAAATATATATTATTAATTAGTTAGAATCAAATATTTATTACATTTTTTAAAAAGATTCATATAGATATTTTAAGTAAATCAAAAGTTTATTGATAAATAAATAAAACAAAAAATAATAAAATAAGAAAATAAAGAAAGGAAAATAATTAAAGTAAATAGTAAAATTAGAGATTGTATACAACTTTTAAGGTAAACTGATTAATTTGTATCTAGCAATTAATAGTTACTTTTTTTATGATAAACTTAGTTCTTTATATATATATTTAATATTATTTATAATAACATATTAAATAAATTAAATATATTAACTTTATTAATTATATTGAATATATTAAATAAATTAAATATATTAACTTTATTAATTATATTGAATATATTAAATATATTTAATATTTTTAATATTTTTAACATTTAGTATTACATCATATTTGCAAATTATATAATTATTATTTTATAATATTATTAATTAAATTTTAATAAATTTAAAAATCAGATTAAATAAAAATATAATTAATATTATTATTTTTGACTAATTTACTTATTTGGTTAAATTAAAATTAATTTAAGCTAATTTATAATTAAATATATATTTTAAATTAATATTAAATTAAGGCTAATTTTAAGTTAAATTAAGATTAAATTTATATTTTAAATTGATGTTAAATCTTTTTATCTCTATTAAGTTGATTTATACTAATTAAAAAACAAAAATTCAACTAAAATAGTATCAAATTTAAATTAAATTTGATTATCTAATTCCAGTTAATTAGATTAATTTAATTAGTTTAATTAATAATTTGCTCTTTTTATTAGATTTTCTAAAGCATTTGATTTATTTATAATGCAAGACAAAAGTAATCAGAATTGTAAAAAATGTAATAACTTAATAACCTATGATTAAAATTACTTTAAAATTTAAAATATTATTATTAAATATATTAGTATTATATGTAAAAATATTTAGCTCTTTATCTTATTTCTTATACTACAATTATTTTTTTAATTAAATAAAAAAAAATAAAAAAAAATGATATTAAAATGTTAAATATAATATTCTTAATATCTAATAATCTTATTTACGTAAATTATTTTTTTATTTTATAGTTTTAATTAAGCTCTAAAAAAATAAAAAAGTTTATTTAAATTGAATTATTGGATACTGAAATATATATAAAAACAAAAAAAACAAAAAAAAAACAAATTGGTTTATAATAAAAAAAAAGTAATTAAAATAATAAAAATGCAATAACTTAATAACTAATAATTAAAATTACTTCAAATTTTGCAATTATATTAATAAATATATAGATATTATAAATAAAAAGTTTAAATATTTTATCATTTTTTCTTATGCTACAATCATTTTTTAAAAAAATAAATAAAAATATTAAATTAAATTAAAATATTAAATATAATTTTTTTAGTATTTAATGATTCTATATTATGTAATTTTAAATATTTATAATTTAATCAAACTTTATAAAATAAAAAATTTTTACTTAAATTGAACCATTAAATACTAAAATATTTACAAAATAAATAATTATATAAAATATACAGTATATATTAAAATTTTAATTATATTTTTATTTTAATTGAAAAAATAATTACAATATAAGAAAATAAGAAAAAGTGCTAAGATTTTATATATATAATACTTATATATTTAATAATAAAATTGTAAAATTGAAGTAATTTTAATTATAAGTTATTAAGTTATTACATTTTTTACAATTCTGATTACTTTTATTTTGCACTATAAATAATATAGTAATATTAGAAAAAAGAATTAAAAGTTTAAAGATTATTATAGAAAATTATAATAATATTAACATTAAATAATAGTAATTATTTAATAAAAGTTGCAAAGTTTTAAGTAAAAAGCATAAAAAATTATAAGATATTTTAATATTTTAACTATATATAAGATAATAAATAAATAATACAGTAATTTTTATTATATATAGATAGTTAATTATATATAAAAAAATATAATAAAAGTAATTATGAGTGATATTTCATATAATAGAAGATTAATTAGTAATAATGGTTAAATTTAATAAAATTTAGTCAAAATTTAGTCAAATATATAATTTTTTAAAAATAATTTAATCAGATATTATTAATGACTCTTTAGATTTTATAATTTTTTTTTATGATCATTAATATATTCTATTATTTGATTATATAAATATCAAATTATATTATATTTTTATTTATTTTTATAATATTTTGTATATAAAAATTATTAGTTAAGGCCTTATCATTTTATATGATTTGTAATAAGTACAAAAAGTTATTTTTGAGGACAATATTTGAAAAATTGCAAAAATTTAATTTATAGAAACTTTTTAAAAATATTAATAGAATATATAAATTACACATTCTAATAAAAATATTAATCTAAGATTAAATTAGGAAACTAACTTTTTTTAAAAAAATTGCCGATCAGTATCCTAATCAGGCGTAACATAATAAGAAATTATGTAAAATGCTTTTTTTTTTTCGTTTTTTTTCGAATAAATGGCTTCACTTTATTGCACTCGAAACCTTTTAAAGAAGAGCCAACTGCAACACATTATACTAGATTTTCCTAATTTATTTAAACCGCCATCAATTTTATATCGAAGATTACATAATAATGTGAATGATGGTGCAGCTCGGAGAATAGCTGAAAAGGAAGAAAGAATGAAAAAAGTGATTGGAAAGAAATCACATAAAAATTCGGAGAAATCGGGATTAAAAACTTCTACACTAAGAGAAATGTTTAAAAGGAAAGAAGAACCAACGGATAAGAAAAATGAAAGGTCAATTGAAGAAAAGAAACGAGACAAATATAAACAAGATTTAGCAAGACAAATTCAATTACATCAAACGTCAAGATTAAATAAAAGGGCTTTCTTACTTCAAATGATTAGCAAAAAATGTAATCCTAATTTGCAAATAACCACTATCAATGCCAAAGATTCTAATCGAAAAAAAAAAATCACCCCAGAAGAGATGCCACCCAATGACAAAAATGTGAATTATGAACCAAATTGGCGTGAAAATGCAAACCTTCCTGGATGGTTAAGACATAAATTTGCCATGAAAGAGAGAACAGGGTTTAAAAAATGGGAACCACATAAAAAAGTTAATAGGGAAACCATGGATAAAATTCGTTGGTTACATACCCAGGTATTTGAAATTTTATACGTTTGATTTATTTGTTTATTAATTTTTTTTTTTTTTAAATTTAAAAATTTTATTTAAATATTTGTTTGATAATAGATGCCGGAAGAATATACCGCCGAAAAACTTTCTCAACAATTTAAAATTTCGCCAGAATCTATTCGCAGAATTTTAAAATCAAATTTTGTTCCAAATTCTGGAATGCTAGAACGTCAAGAACAAAAATATAGGGAGAAATTATTAAAATTTAAAGAGAAAAAGAAAGGGGCGAAAGTGGCAAATCAATCAATACAATCAAAAATTAGTCAAAGTTCACAACGAAAAGGGTCCAAATAATTATGTATATAATAACATGACTAATTATTTATCTATTAAAAAATTTATTTGACATATCGATCAATTATTTATGACAATTTTAATGAAATAGAAACGGCAACGTTTTTTAAACCTTCAATAGTTTTGCAATTCTGATTTACTTTTTAAATGCGAGCAAAATTGTGCAACATTAAAATAAATTACAGGAATTTTCTATTTTTAGTAAGTATTAAAAATATGCAAGATGAAACATCAGAAATTTAAGAATATCCAAAATGAGTTTCAAATATATACGAATATCATATCTATTGGTTCTGATTCAGACACACATTCATTGGAACAAATACTTTGATACCGTATATTGAGAGTTGAAGCGCCCTGGATTTGAATATCGAAAATCAGATCATTATCATTTTTTTATTTAATCACTATGAGGTCTACATTTCTAAACTTTTTTTTTTAATAGAATCAAGGAGAAAGAAAGTTGTTTTTTCCCCTAATCTGAAGGACGATATATGGCAATTGTTTGGGCGATCTCATTTAATTAATTTAGCAAACGTGTTTATTTTTGTGAAACATTTTTAATTTAATTACACGTTCACATTCATCATTTTTTGTCCTTTTTATCCTTTTTTTTTTTCCTTTCAATTTTTGAAAAAAATTTGGCTTTAAATCGATCAAAATTAAAATGATATCATTAGCGTCGGAGCCAGCTGAAATTTTATTAACATTTCCCGAAGGAGATCATACGACTCCCTTAATAATTATCGGAGGGATTGCATGTGGATCAATATTAGTTCAATTATTATTAACATATATATTAAGACAAATTGCAGTGAAGACAGGATGGACATTTGATAATGAAATAGTCAAAAATTGGTAAATAATTTACCATGTAAATTCAACTTGATGTTTTCTTTTTTCTTTTTTCCGTAATCTTTGTTTTTTTTAAAAAAAAATCTTTCTCTATCAATAGTTCGTTACCAACTTTTTTTTTGTTTCCGATATCATCAATAGTAATAACCTTGTCATTTATATCAATAGCTGTAGAACCAACAATACTGGAACCGATTAGGCACGCATTAGATATATTCTTAATCATATTTGCAACATGGACAGCGATAGGATTTGTTAAAGCTGCCTCAATATCCATATCAAAAAATAATGACTTCATTAAATCATCAAATAGTGTACAATCACGTAAATTGCATACACAATTAATAGTTACGACGAGATTGATTTATGGTTTAATATTTTGTATAGGAGCCTCTGCGATCCTTTTAACATTTCCTAGAGCATGGGAAATTGGTGCAAGCATATTGGCAAGTGCAAGCGTAGCCGCATTATTTATTGGCTTGGCCGCTAAACCTTCAATGGAAAATTTAGTCGCTTCTTTGCAAATTGCTTTAACACAACCTCTCTTGCTTGATGATTACGTTATGATCGATGGACAGGAGGGGATCGTAGAAGAAATCCAAGCTCAATATATTGTAGTTAGAACCGGTGATGACCGACGCATTATTGTTCCCTTATCTCGTGTTATTAATGAAACATTTGAAAATTGGTCAAAATCAAATGAAAATATTGGAATGCACTTTGAATTCTTCGTTGATTATGGTGTACCTTTGGAAGATTTAAAACAATATTATAATCATATTTTGCAAAAATCGGAATGTTGGGATCGTCGTGATGGTGGTTTATCTATTAAGGAATGTAGAGAGAATTGTATGGTATTAAAAGCTTACATGACTGGTATGTTCGGTATTAAGGAAATAGTTTTTTTTTTGTTTCCCCCCGTCTTTGACGCGTAATTTTTTTTTTTTTTTTTTAAAAAAAAAATTATTTATTTATTTAGCTTCAAATATTAAATCTGGTTCTAAATTAAAAGGGGAACTTCGTGAAAAAATGGTAAGAAAATGATTTTCCTTTTTTTTTGCATAATAAATAAAAGCTATATATCCAAAACAACTCTTAATTAAATAATAGATTGAATATCTTGTAACAACTCATCCCGAATATTTACCGTATTCCCGTTATCTAAGGGTGGAAAAGCGTCGTGGTATTGATAGTATGAAGAGAATAGTTACTAAAATGGAAGATGCAAATTTAGATGATGGAATTACTGGAAAGAAACATTTTATTATACAAGAAAAGGAATGATAATTACTGGAGGTTTTGCTTGGGAGGAAAAACAAATCCGAGCTTTATTAGTCAAGAACAATTTAACGTGTTAAATCATTTATTCATTTGTTTATTAACCATTCTAGCATTATCTTTATAGCACTGTTGTAAATTTAATATAATTAATTAATTGATCATTAAAACTTTGATGTCATTTATTCATTTGTGAATTATTTAATCGAATGATTCAAAAATTTGACCGAATACATAAATTTTGTGCAAACATAAAAGCAAATCAACTCTTAAAACGACAAATTTATTAAAAATAAATTCGTTCATAACATTGTTTTTCCACTCTTCAATCATAAAATGATTTAATCGTCAAAGATTATTCGATCGTCGTGAACTTGCCAATTTTTCATAGATTCTCTAGGAATTCCAGCATTTGTTGAAATTTTTTGAATTTCGAAATAGGGCCTTGCTGAAATTCTCCCTAGACACATATATGGGACCTTTGCAATAGAAAGGGGGAACAAATCAATTTTTACTTTGTTTTATACGCTAAAAATGATTTTTAGGTCAAAATATAGCATTAACTCATTTTTTTTTTTTCAAGCTGTTTTCCCCTTTTTCTACTGGGAGTGTATGATATTCTGGAACGACTGCAAAGGTGTCAAAATGATTCATCGATATCCTTTTCGACCATTTTAGTTTGCTAATTTCCGGTGGGATCACCTCTCAAATATTGGCTATTTCGAAGATTGTATTTAATAATTTTGTCTTCTAAGTGTAAAATGACTTTTGACGATGATATGAATAAAACAATCATTTGGACATTTTTATTTATTTGACCTCTTTGTTTTAAATGAGTTATTTTCAACTTTTCATACTTAAAAATTATGTCTCAGAGCTTGCCCTGAATTCACAAACTCATTTTTATAATTGCTCGTAAGAAAGAGTTTAATGCAAATTCAAGGATCTTTTATATTAATTATTATATTTATGATGGAAGTAAGAACAATACGGTCTGTCGTTCGACCGGTAAATTACGTAACAGGTTTTAATAAATACCTGACCGGAGAATCGCATTCCGAGTAAATGATAAAAACCCATTCTATTAATCATTCCTGATAAATTACTTTTTTGTTACTAGATTATCTCAAGAAACTCTAAAAAAAAAAAAAACAAAATCTATATTTCTGATTTTCTGTAAACATGTTCAATATTATCCGTGCAAATTTGCCACTTACGTTCTACGAAATTTCCTGGTGCGTCTTCTATACAATTTAATTTATTAATCATTTTTCATTTGTTATTTAGAATTTAAGATACGTTTCTTCTGACACCAAATCTGGATCTTCCACTGATAAAGCAACATTTAATGGTATGTTTCCTATATAACCTTTTATTTGTTATCTATTGTGTCTTTATAATGTATTTGTTTGTTTAGAACCAACTTCGTCTTTTGAACATGTGACTCGTGAAAGCAATATCCATAAATCTCCTAATTGGGATCAGAATGTCAACTTCACTCTAAAGGAGTGTATTTTATATGATATTAATAGACATAGAAATGATTACTTCAACCATAAAATCTCTCAATTGGAAAACAAGTTCTATTCTACTGCAATTCAGTCAGCGAAACGTGCAATGCAGTCAGAGAATAAGTTACTTCTTATTATTGGCAGCATCTTATCAATTATTTCTAGTGTTGTCGCTAGTAATTATATTAACAAACACAAACAAGATAGTGTCAAGATGGTCAGGAAGAAATAATATCTTAACAAAAAAGTGAATTTTCAGCTTTTATTTCATGTAGAGCATCTCATAACATATACTTGTTGCTTAGATTAGATTATTAAATAATGTTGATTTCTTTTATTTGCGACTTATTACTTTTACAAAAATGTAATCTCTATAATAGCTTATTTTGCTAAATAAATTTTTTTAATTTGCGATTTGTTTCTTTGCTTTTACTTTGAAATGTTTTAGAATTTAAAATATGCGTATTAAGAAATTAGTAGACGTCCTTACAAGATAATAATAAACACATGAAAGATAAATACAAATGCGGACTTTTCCTATAATATTAAGGGCGGTCAATAGAAAAGGGGGAAATCTACAAATTTTGAGTAATTTTAGTTATTAAGCTAGTTTTGTTCACATGACTATGATTAGTAGAGTGAACCAATAAAAAAATTTTGACTAAAAAGTGAATTTCCCCCTTTTCTACTGACCGTCTCCTATATAATGGAATTTCTATATTAATACTATAATCTATTTACCCGCTTCAATGATTTCTACAATTTGATCTAGGGATTATATACTTACTTGATTTACCCAAACAAGTTCTTGAGTTTTTCAAAGCATAAGACTTCTGTCAAAATATTCTCATTAATAGAAAAAGTAAATGGTGTTCACGAACACAATAATATTTAACATTCCCATTATTATTATTATCATTGCAATTGCCAGTAGTTTCTAACTTAATTATAACCCATTTGATCACTATCAAAACAATACTATATATTACCTCTTTATGCAAAGCCTTATTGTATATGCATTTCTTTTTATTATGATAAGATGAAACTTATAACTAGATTATATTCTGATCAACCTTCTGCTTAATATCCTTCTTTTTAACCTCAGTAACTATATTTTCAATCTTAATATGATTCTTTACCATAGCTTTTAGATAACTCGTATTCTGAATATACTTTCACTTTACTATCATAACAAGAGGCAATGCTATGAAGAACAAAAGAAATAAATTAACATTTTATTATTTTATTTGCACTAGTGACATGAATGCAGATCTTATACTTCATAACTATATCTTTTACAATAATGGTCATAAGTATCTGACCACCTCTAACTCTGGCTACAAGTAAGTAAATTCAAAAAAATTTTTTTATTTAAAAAATACATAATTAACTAACTAAAATTAATATATTTGTGTAGTCACCATTTGACTCTATAAGTGCAGCTGTATACCTTTTCATGTTAGCTACTAAATTCACAATAAGTATAGATGATAATCGGTTCTATTCTTTTATAAGTTCCCCTTTAATCCTCTAATTGATCAAATTTTTTTTTGTATATTAATTTTCATTAACCTCTAAATGTTTTCTATAGGGTTTTGATTTGGAGACTTTGATAGCTAAAAAAGTACCTTAATGCCATTTTCTTCCTTTCATTTTTTCATGATTTTCGATTAATGCTTTGGATCATTATCTTCTTGTAAAATCCAATCTATGTTACCTTCACCAAAAAGTTTAGAGGTGGAAGTCAGAAGACCCTGCTCATAAATAGTATACATAAATTCAACATTAAGGTTTCTCTAAAAGCAAAATAGTTTACCAAATCCAGAAGCAGAAAAACATTTATAAACATGAATTTTTAGTGGATGTTTAACAGAACGAAACACTTTTTTTCTATCAGGAAACTGCCAAACCTTTTTTTTTGATGTATATAATTAAAATATACTCTCATTTGTAAAAATAACTCAATTCTAATCAAAATTCTTATGTTTTTTGCCCATTGCAACCTTTTCTTTCGATGGTCTTCTTTAAGCAAAGGTTTGGAAATTTCATTAATAAACTTTCCTTCAGACTTACGAAGACATCATCTTACTATTTCTACACTAAGTCCAATACCTTTTTCTTTTATTTTTTCTTGTATTTGAATGGCTATTATATTATATTTTTTCACTGTCATCTTTACAATCTTATCATCTTGTTTTACAAATGTTACATAAGGTCACTCTGGTCTTTCTAAAGTACTTAGGTCCTGATTTTCATGATATCTTTTAATCTAATAAATAGCTATAAACTTACTACAACGTACTTGTTTAGCAATAAATCTAAAACTAAACTTTGGATTAGCTGAATACTCAAGTAAAAAAATAATTTCATATCATTTCTCTAAAGAAAGTTCTATTTTTCAAGTGAAAGTTTGATGATCATCTAAATTTTTTTTTTGTATCATTGATACTTATAAATTTACAAGTGATTATGTATTGTATTACATTATATTTCTGGAAAATTTAAGGAGTAGTTATATAATAATTTGAATGATCTCAGGCGGTTAGATACTTATAACCTCTACTATAAAATATACTCCAATACCTTTTTATAATCAGTTATATTAGCAGACTTTTCATTAAATCTGAGTAGATATTGGCTATTAAGCCAAATAAGATCTTAATCTTAGAAAATATCTACAACAAAAATGGTTGTTATTAAAGATGGTGTTGCAACATTGTGATGCTTATTTGTCATCTGTTGCAACTTAAATTTTAATAATGTTGCAATTCGTTGCAACATTGTGATGCTTATTTGTCACCTGTTATAACTAATTGAGGTACCATCTTTAGTTGTTATGCTATATAAATGTCAAAGTTGATCCTACTAGAACCTTTGAATAAAACTCATAAAAAAATTATAATACTTACTTATGTCTATTAAAATTGAAAGGTCTATCTTGAATTCTTGAGTTCAGATTATACTAGCTAAATCCTTATTATTGACCAAATAATCATGCTTTTAAAATTATGATGATATACTTTTCTTTAGTTCTTTCTAGAAATATAAAACAAGTTTGAAGTTTTGTTTTTAAAGTTAACAAGATTATTTGCTTACAAGTTACAGTTTATAAGAATTTTCTGATTTACGTTTACATTATAATGCAAAAAAAAGTGTTTGCTAATTTTTGAAAGTAGTTTCAGCTTTATACCTTCAAGTTTCTCTTTAATATTAATATTTATATTTGTATTGATGAGATCAAGTTTTTATTTTTTCTTTAAGGAAATAATAACCTTCTATAGCTTAAGTTTATTTATAGTAAAATTATCAAATATGCATTTTTTTCTTGATAGTTTTTCTGAATTCATTAATCATTTCTATTTTATTAACTTTTATGTTAAAAGTATTTTTATAAAGATTTTCATCTATAACTAAATAACTAATAGTGATAATTAATATAGCTAAATAAAAAAATAATGTATTATATTTCAAAGTGAAATAAAATTTATTTTTAGGTAAGAATTAAATATTAATATATATTTTTATATTATACAAATATTATATCATTTTATATAATCAATTCTCATATTTAATAAAATAATTATATTTATTTAAAAATAAGTTATTGTTAAAACTAGCAATTAATACATAAAAATTTGTGATATACAGAGGGTAGACAAAAGTATCTGTACACCTTCCATAACGTAAATTAATGCTAGTAAAGTCATATGACCATAATAACAAATTGCATTTATATGACACTTAAGTGTTTATTTATATTATAAAAATAAAAGAATAACAATTTATTTTTTTTAATAAATTTTTCTTCTCCAAAAATCTAAAAAAAATGGTAAAACTAAAGAATTAACTGCAATGATTTTTCAAGCGAAAAACAATCTTTATACATTATCTGGCTAGCTCAAAGTCCTGATCTTAATCCAATTGAGAATCTTTGGGCTGAAGTCAAGAAAAGCATCTAAGCTTATAAAAAACCTCTATCTAATTTGACTAATATGTTAAAAAGGCTTGGCAAGAAATTCTGAAGCATACTATCAAAACCTAGTCGATAGTATGCCGCAATGAATTTAAGCTATGATTGCAGCAAATAGTAGTACAACTAAATACTAGTTAGTACAAAATGTAGATCTTAATTGGCTTTAAATAAAATATTAATTGACCGTTTATTGTTAATGCAAAAAAATTATAAGTTTTATATTGAGTAAAAAGTGTGTAGATACTTTTGTCTACCCTTTGTATGATATAAAATACAAGTAAAATAATTATTTAATTTAAGATATATAAAGACATAAATAAGATCTCTTACTATTTTGAAATGATGAGAATATCTTTTTTGAGTATATTAATATATAAAATAAGAAAATTTTTCTTAAAGATTCTATAAATATAACTTGATTATTATTAAAACTATTTACAGAAAAAATTATAGAAAAATTAGGTTAAAAAAATTAACTTTGTAAATAAAGATTGAAATTATTTTAATATAAATTTTATTAAGCATTTTAATTAAGTTTTCAAATTATCAATAGTCAAATTATAGAGCCCTTAATCAGGTCAGGATGACCTGTTTACCTGACCTGAACTGATCCAAAAATTCAGGTCAGATCAATAGATTTTCAGATTAATGCCAGATCAGGTTAACAGGTCAACCTGACCTGACCTGACCTGATAAAAATTTAGGTCAACTAATCATTCTTCTTGAATAATTTATTATCATTAAATTAGAAATAATAAAGTTGATTAAATAAATTAATAATTGTTTAT